TGAGCTGAGCAGAACAGAGGCACAAACCCCATTTGGATGTTGAGGAGCTTTGCTGGGCTGAGCAGAGGAACAAACCCCATTTGGATGCTGAGCTGAGCAGAACAGAGGCAAAAACCCCATTTGGATGCTGAACTGAGCACAGGCACAAACCCCATTTGGATGCTGAGCTGAGCAGAGGCACAAACCCCATTTGGGTGCCCAGGTTTTTGCTGAGCAGAGGCACAAACCCCATTTGGATCCTGAGGTCTCAGCTTTGTTGGGCTGAGCACAGGCACAAACCCCATTTGGGTGCTCAGGTTTTTGCTGAGCAGAGGCACAAACCCCATTTGGGTGCTGAGCTGAGCAGAACAGAGGCACAAACCCCATTTGGATGCTGAGCTGAGCAGAGGCACAAACCCCATTTGGATGCTGAGGTGCTTTGCTGCACAGAGCAGAGGCACAAACCCCATTTGGATGCTGAGGTCTCAGCTTTGCTGGGCTGAGCAGAGGCACAAACCCCATTTGGGTGCTCAGGTTTTTGCTGAGCAGAGGCACAAACCCCATTTGGATGCTGAGGTCTCAGCTTTGCTGGGCTGAGCAGAGGCACAAACCCCATTTGGGTGCTCAGGTTTTTGCTGAGCTGGGTCTGTGTGGCAAGAGCTGCAGATCAAAGCTGGCTCCAGCTTTGCAGAGGTGCTGGGCACGCTCTGAGGTTTCCCTGCAGGGCTGCCCCACGCCAGCCCTGCCCACAAGGGAAGCAGCCAGGGCTGGTTTCCTTGCAGAGAAACCACCCTCCAGCCAGCCACGTGCGGTTTTATCAACAGAAATATCAAAATACTTCATTTTCGCTTATCAGAGACACCAAGGGAAGCGCCTGAGCCATTCCCACCCAACCCCTCCCAGCAGGAAGCTGCCCCAGCTCCGAGCCCAGCCTGGTTTCTGTGCTGTCCCAAAGGCCAGTGGCACACACAGAGGGCTTTGAAGCTGCCATGAGTCACCAGGACACCCAAGAACTGCACCCAAACACCCCAGAGCACCTCTGCACCCTGCTCCTCCCTGCTGGGAGAAGCTGGCAGGAGAAGCTGTCTGTCCCCCAGCAGCAGGACAGGCATTTACACCCACACAGAGGTGATTTGTTTTACTGCAGACAGCTCTGAGAGCTGACAACACAAAGCCACACACGTTAGACAGGAGCTATTCAAGGCACAGCTACTCCTCCTGCCCAAACCATGCCCTCCAAGGCTGAAAATGAGGATTTTTCAGGGAATTCCTGTAGGATTTGCTCCCACCTCCCCATCCTTTCATGCTGACACCAGTTGGGAGCAGGATGCTGGATGTCTGTCCTGCACAGAGCCTGGAAAATTCCAAATAAAAGCAGGGGGAAAAAAAAAAGGCTCCCATGCCTCAGGCAACACCTGCACCAGCCCCAGGGGCAGCACCCACAGGCAGGGCTTGGGTTAAAATCAGAGAGGGTCCCCCTGAGACTCCTTTTCTCCAGAGTGAACTGTAAATAATCACAATAAATTAATATATTATAATATATTATTTAATATATCCAATATATAAATATTAAATATTTAATAATAATATTTAATATTAATATATTAAATATTTAACAGCAATATTTAATATTAATATATTAAATATATCAATTTATTTAATTTATTATATATAATATATATTATATATTAAATTTAAAATAAAATTATTTAAATAAATTATATAATATAATAAATAAATAAAAGAAATAAATTAAAAAAAAAAATGAATGTCGCTTTCCCATTTTACTAAATACAGCCAGATCTGACATAAATAAAAATAGGCCAGAACTGCACAAACAAAAACCTGAGTATCCTCAGGCTGCAAGTCAAAAGCGAACAAGCAGCAACTCTACATCAGAAAGAAAAAAAAAATAAATGTTCACCAAAGGGGGAGAGCACGCCCTGTCTGCAGCTCTCAGGCATTTTTAATGGGAATCACTATTGGGATGACAGGGAATGCAGATATGAGTGTCCCTGCCCCCCATCCCGGTTGTTTGGGGAGTTTTTGAGGCAGAACTACTCCCACGGTCTGCATAATTCTGCGAAATGAAAAGGGAAATGGACTTATTTAAAATCTGTTTCAATATTAGTATGGAAAACATCCTGCCAGTGAGAAGTCCCTCAAACCAGCTCTTTATGCAGCATTTCGCAACACCACAAAATTCTGTGAGTTTCTACTTCAAGTCAGGATTTCAAAGCACAAAAACCTCACCTCGCACCTCACCCCAGCTTCAAGGGCTGGTGAAAAAGCCTCGACAAAGATTTTCCCCCTTAAATAAACCTCATTTCTGCTAAACTCGACATTCCTTTAAGCACACCCGTTCATGCCGGGAGCTCCCAGCCCCGGGGAATCACCTGGCCCTCGGCAGCTTTTGAGGGAATGAACCGGGAATGCCAGGCAGAAAGCAAAGGTGCACCCTAGAAATCAGATTTACATCAGATTTACATCAGATTTACATCCCCCTCCTCCCACCAGGGTGCCAGCCCCGCCGTGTCCCCGCGTCGCGTTGTGCTGGCGGCTGGGTGACATTTAATTAACAGCAGTCATTAGGGCTAAGCCCTAATTCGCTGCAGCAGGGCCAGATGGTGCTGCTGCCTCCCCCGACCGCCCTCCATCCCAAACGGCGCCGGGAGGCACCGGAGAGAGCCCTGCCCGCCCCACAAATCCCCCAAAAAACATTGAATGGGTTTGTGAGCTAAGGAAAGCCAAGCTGGGCACCAGAACTGCCCCGGTTCCCCCTAAACAACCCCGAAAATGAGCAGCGACCATTCCCCCACCCCCAGTGGGACGGGTCAGACCCAAATTCGCACCGGCACGGCCTCGCTGCCCTCCACACCCGCACCGAGGGCATCCCCACAGGTGCAGGTGATGTGGGTGCAAACCTGCGGGGAACGGCATCAGCACTGACACATTCTCAAAAGAATCAAAATCCCCCAAAAATCAAGAGGCTCCTGACCCCCACCAGGAAATTTTCAAGTCCCTCAAGGCCCAGCAGCTGCATCCCAAAAGAGTTTCCCCGAGTGAGCGGGGCAGGAGCGGTTTCACAGCCAGCAGGGCTCAAATCCCGAAGTTATCAGTGACAGCTTTGCAAAAACCTCTTCTTGTCCCCTCCCGCCACACCTGACCCGGGTCACTCCTCACCAGGGAGCGGGAGCAGCACCCGGGACAGGGCACAGGGCGGGGGCGTCACCGCACAGCCCCAGCTGGGTCCCCTCTGTGCCCACTCCCAGCCAGGGGAAGCGTGAATCAACCTCTCCTGCAGAGCACCAACAGCACCAGCACAGCCCGGATCCACACCAGGGAGCACTGGCACAAACCATCACTGGCACAATCAATGGCATAAACATCATTGGCACAAACCATCCCTGGCACAATCAATGGCACAAACCATCCCTGGCACAAACAATCAATGGCACAAACAATGGCACAAACCATAATTGGCACAAACCATCCCTGGCACAAACCATCCCTGGTACAAACCATCCCTGGCACAAACCATCCCTGGCACAAGCCATCCCTGGCACAAACCATCCCTGGCACAAACAATCAATGGCACAAACCATCCCTGGCACAATCAATGGCATAAACCATCATTGGCACAAACCATCCCTGGCACAAGCCATCCCTGGCACAAACCATCAATGGCATAAACAATGGCATAAACCATCATTGGCACAAACCATCACTGGCACACACCATCAATGGCACAAACCATCCCTAGCACAAACCATCCCTGGCATAAACAATCAATGGCACAAACCATCCCTGGCACAATCAATGGCATAAACCATCATTGGCACAAACCATCCCTGGCACAAACCATCCCTGGCATAAACAATCAATGGCACAAACCATCCCTGGCACAAACAATGGCATAAACCATCATTGGCACAAACCATCCCTGGCACACACCATCACTGGCACAAGCCATCACTGGCACAAACCATCCCTGGCACAAACAATGGCATAAACCATCATTGGCACAAACCATCCGTGGCACAAACCATCATTGGCACAAACCATCATTGGCACAAACCATCCCTAGCACAAACTATCCCTGGCACACACCATCACTGGCACAACTTCCCTCACCCGGGGTTGGGGCAGAGCTTCAGGCACAAATTCTCGAGGACTTTACCCCTCGCTGGGAAGCTTTACATAGGCCAACCCTCCCTGCTCACCGCGAGCTGCCGATGCCAACCCCGCCCAGCAGCGATCATCTCCTCTTTCCTGGAAAAGCTGCATTTTCCAAACCCGCCCGGCGGCACCGCACCCACACGCGGAGACCCCGGCCCGGCCCCGTCACTGTCCCCTGCCTGCCCCTTCGCTGTCCCGCACCCCTGCCCTCCCCCGCATCCTCTAACCCTGCCCGGGTTCTCCCCCGGCAGGGGAGGGAGAGGGGCCGGGGGGAGAACCCGGGCAGGGTGAGGGATGCGGGGAGGGCAGGGGTGCGGGACAGCGAGGGGCAGGCAGGGGACAGTGAGGGGCGGGCAGGGGATAGGCAGGGGACAGAGAGGGGCAGCAAGGGCACAGTGAGGGGACAGCGAGGGGCAGGCAGGGGACAGTGAGGGGACAGCCAGGGGCTGGCAGGGAACAGCGTGGAGCAAGTAGGGGATAAGCGGGGGACAGTCAGGGGACAGTGAGGGGCGGGCAGGGGACAGGCGGGGGATAGCGAGGGGCAGGCAGGCGACAGGCAGGGGACAATGAGGGGCAGGCAGGGGACAGAGAGGGGCAAGCAGGGGACAGGCAGGGGTAGGCAGGGGACAGCGAGGGGCAGGCAGGCGACAGGCAGGGGAAAGGCAGGGGATAGAGAGGGGCAGGCAGGGGACAGCGAGGGGACAGAGAGGGGCAGGCAGGGGACAATGAGGGGCAAGCAGGGGACAGCGAGGGGCAGGCAGGGGACAGTGAGGGGACAATGAGGGGCAGGCAGGGGACAGCGAGGGGCAGGCAGGGTGGGATAAGCAGGGGACAGCACTCACAGTCGCAGCGCAGGGCGCGCTCCCGCACCGCCTCCCCGCACAGGTCGCACCATCCCCGGCGCGGCAGGCGCGGGGCGAAGCGGTGCCCGCGGCCGCGCTCGGGGGGGCTCTCCGGCCGCCCCGAAGATGCTCCGCACGTCGGGCAGCAGCCGCGGGGCTCCCCCGCGCCGCCGCAGCCGCCGCGCAGCCCTGGCCCCGCCGGGGCTCCCCTCGGGACGGGCGGGGGTCGCGGCGGGGCCCGGCGGGCGGCGGCGCATGGAGCCGGGCACGGGGGGCGGCAGCGGGCGGGGGCACGGCCCCACGGCCGGCGATGCCATGGGCTCGCAGCGGCGGCGGCGGGGCGGGGCGGGCGCTCGGCCCGGCCGGAGGGAGGAGACGCGGCGGGGAGGGCGGGGGTGGCACCGGGAGCGGCCCCGGGGCGCCCCTCCCGTGGGGACACCCTCGGGGTCAGGGTCAGGGTCGGGGTCGGGGCGCTCCGCGCTCGCTGCCCCCGCGGTGTCGGCGCTGCTCGCCCTGCGTTCCCCGGCGCGCACCGGAATGTCCCCGTGCTCTGCCGCCGGGAATCCCCGCTCAGATGGGACTGGGATTCCCCGGGCAGGGGGTCCGTGCATTCCCCGGGGGGCTCTCCCTGCCGGACAATCACCTCCGTGGGGCTGGGGTTCCCCAGGAGGGGTCTGGGTATCCCCCGGGGGGCTTTCCCCGCCGCACAATCACCCTCGTGGGGTTGGGGTTCCCCGGGGGGCTTTCCCCTCCGGACAGTCACCCCATGGGGCTGGGGTTCCCCGGGGTTCCGTGCATCTCCCGGGGGGCTCTCCCTGCCGGACAGTCACCCCTGTGGGTGGGATCTGTCACCCTGCCCTGCTGCTCCCTGGGATGGGGCTGTGGATGTGGGGAGAGCCCATAAATCACTCTGGGGACAGCCCATAAATCACTCTGGGGACAGGCGGTGGGGGGGTGGCCGAGGGGCAGCGTGGCTGAGCCTTCTCACAAACATCTCCTGCTCCCAGCTCCCGCTCCCACCTCATTCCCCGGGGGGCTCTCCCTGCCGGACAGACACCCCGTGGGGCTGGGGTTCCCCGGCGAGGGGGTCCCTGCATCCCCCGGGGCTCCCACAAAGCACAGCCAGAGGATTTTCCCCAGCGCTTTGTCACAGCTCTGTCCCCGTGGGAGCAGCACGGTCACACGTGGGGAGAAGCCCCTGTCCCTCTGTGGGGCTGTGACACGCAGGGATTCCCTCCCCCAGCTGATCTCCCGTGGGAAACCTGAAAGGGAAAATATGGCAGCAGCTCAGGCTGCTCCATGCAGCTATTCTGTACCAGGAGTTTTCTTTCTTTTTCCTTTTTTCCTTTTTTCCTTTTTTCCTTTTTTCCTTTTTTCCTTTTTTCCTTTTTTCCTTTTTTCCTTTTTTCCTTTTTTCCTTCCTTCCTTCCTTCCTTCCTTCCTTCCTTCCTTCCTTCCTTCCTTCCTTCCTTCCTTCCTTCCTTCCTTCCTTCCTTCCTTCCTTCCTTCCTTCCTTCCTTCCTTCCTTCCTTCCTTCCTTCCTTCCTTCCTTCCTTCCTTCCTTCCTTCCTTCCTTCCTTCCTTCCTTCCTTCCTTCCTTCCTTCCTTCCTTCCTTCCTTCCTTCCTTCCTTCCTTCCTTCCTTCCTTCCTTCCTTCCTTCCTTCCTTCCTTCCTTCCTTCCTTCCTTCCTTCCTTCCTTCCTTCCTTCCTTCCTTCCTTCCTTCCTTCCTTCCTTCCTTCCTTCCTTCCTTCCTTCCTTCCTCTCCCACAGCTGTACAGACCAGAGAGTTTGAGCAGCCACTGCAAAAAGTTCGAGTTAGCAGTAGAAAAACTGTCAGGAGTCAGACACTGTGTGTGCTGCCACCCCTTCCCCTGGGCATGTCCCCCCCTGGCCCTGCCAGTGTCCCTCCTTCCAGCCGGGGGTGTCACGGGGCTGGGGAGGTCCCTGTCCCCCCTCCCTGCTGGCCCCAGGGTGATTGCTGCTCTGGGTGCGTGCCTGGAGGGTGACACAGCCCTGAGCCCTGCAGGACACCCTGCAGACACGGCACCGGCCCTGCTCTGCTGCTCTCCCTCCTCCTGGTTTGGACACTGAAATTCCGACAGAATTATCCCTGAATTTCAGCCGGGGATGTCCTCCACAAGCTGTTCATTGTATCAGGAATCACCCACAATAAGGTCTAGCTGGCACCTGGCTGGGAACCTCCTAAAACCATCCTGGACTTTCATTTTCTCAATAACATCCCAAGAGACATCTCCAGTCTCTGTTCTGCAGTCTCAGGGCATAAGACACTAAATAAATGTAATATTTTCTGTCCCCACAGCAAGCACAGGCTGCACAAGAGGCTCGTGACAGTCATTGTCCTTCCCAGCTGTCCCTTCAGATATTCAGAGCTGACAGCACAGGGAGCTCTTTTAGGCCACAGGATAAATTTTTTTTTGGGGGGAAAAGAAAACCCCAAGTAATTAACATGGCAGGAAAATTCTTGTTTCATTTGGATTCCAGAAGTCCCCTCTGCACCATTCTGGACTTTCATTTTCCCAATACCATCCCAGGAGACAGCTCCATGAAAATCAGGATTTTAAAGAAGAGAGAGAGTGACTTTAGTGACAGGACAAGGGGGGTGGCTTTAAACTAAAAGAGGGGAGATTTAGATGAGATATTGGGAAGGAATTGTGCATATTCCCATTGTCCATTTGCATTCAGGTTTTTGGGAGAGAAGGGAGGGGAGAGGCAGAGCTGGGCTGGGTGAATCCAGGCTTAGGGGAAGCTGAATTTGACGTCTCCCGTGTACTCCTGAGGACAGGATAAGCTGAGAATATCTAAATCCTTTTCAAGGATTCTAATTTGAAGGATGGATTAAAACACTGGCTCTGAATCACAGCAGCCCAGTGCCATAAGCAGCCCCTAATAACAGCTGCAAACCAAAGGAGGAATAATGCAGCTGGGAAAATTGGGAGTTTTGCTCTGTGCTAAGCAGCAAGATTAATTTTTAGAAGGTCTTTTCCTTCCCTGTTCAGGATTTGCTTTCATGCCTCCTCTGCTTCTGCTTGAAAACAGCAGCAGATTTATTCCTCAATTGTTCCACCAAAGTTTGGTATTTTGTCATATGTCCTCCACAAGCTGTTCATTGTATCAGGAATAAAAGAAATTTCTGAGGGTGAAGGTTTAGCTGGCACCTGGCTGGGAACCTCCTAAAACCATTCTGGACTTTCATTTTCCCAATATCATCCTGGGAGACAGCTCCAGGCTCTGTTCTGCAGCCTCAGGGCATAAAAATACTAAATAAATTTAATATTTTCTGTCCCCACAGCAAGCTCAGCCTGCACAAGAGGCTCGTGACAGTCATTATCCTTCCCAGCTGTCCCTTCAGGTATTCAGGTTAAAATATTTTTTAGGCCACAGGTTAAAATTTTTTTTTTGGGGAAAAAGAAAACCCCAAGTAATTAACATTGGCAGGAAAATTCTTGTTTCATTTGGATTCCAGAAGTCCCCTCTGCAGCTGCTGTGTTACAGCAGTTAAAGCATGACAAGGGCTATTAGCAGAAGTTCTTTTTTCTGTTTGCCAAGAAATAAATCCCTTTTAGCTGAAGCCAAACATGTTCCAGGTCAAATGCTCAGCTGGTGCGAGTCAGTGCAGCTCCACTGAGTGCCAGGAGGTGCAGCAGGGACCCTGCTCCTTTATGAACATCAGAAAATTCTGCCTGGATTCAAAATAACCTCCATTAGAACGCCCAGCAAATCCCAGAAAATAATTCTTAGGAGAAAAGCTCTGAAGGGATGGATTAGCTCCACCTCTGCACAGCAAACAGTTGGGTTTGACATTCAGGATGTTGGTTTTTCTAATTAAAATGAATGGGGAGCTCTGGTGCCAAATTCCACCAGGGAAATGTTTCCTGGGCGGGGGAGGCTCCTGGGCACCCCTGGCGTGTTCCTACAAGAAACTCAGGCTGGGCACAGCCCTGCAGCTGCTGCTCCTCCTGCTCCTCCTTCCTTCTGCTGCCTTGGCACGGAGGGGTGGGTGCTCCTGGCACTGGGATGTGCCAGGATGGGTGGGGTGGGCACAGCAGGGTGGGATCTGTCACCCTGACCTGCTGCTCCTGGGATGGAGATGTGGGATGGGGATGTGGGATGTGGGGACAGCAGGATGGGATCTGTCACCCTGCCTGACTTTGGATGCTGCTCCCTGGGATGGGGATGTGGGGACAGCAGGGTGGGATCTGTCACCCTGCCCTGCTCTCCCTGGGATGGGGAGGTGGGATAAACCCAGCAGGGTGGGATCTGTCACCCTGCCTGACTTTGGATGCTGCTCCCTGGGATGGAGATGTGGGGACAGCAGGGTGGGATCTGTCACCCTGACCTGCTCTCTGGGATGGAGATGTGGGATGGGGATGTGGGATGGGGATGTGGGAATGTGGGGACAGCAGGGTGGGATCTGTCACCCTGCCTGGCTTTGGATGCTGCTCCCTGGGATGGGGATGTGGGGACAGCAGGGTGGGATTTGTCACCCTGCCCTGCTCTCCCTGGGATGGAGATGTGGGATGGGGATATGGGATGAGCCCAGAAGGGTGGGATCTGTTACCCTGCCCTGCTGCTCCTGGGATGGAGATGTGGGATGGGGAGGTGGGATGGACCCAACAGGATGGGATCTGTCACCCTGCCCTGCTCTCCCTGGGATGGGGATGTGGAATGTGGGGACAGCAGGGTGGGATTTGTCACCCTGCCTGGCTTTGGATGCTGCTCCCTGGGATGGGGATGGGGATGTGGGGACAGCAGGGTGGGATCTGTCACCCTGCCCAGCTTTGGATCCCTGGGATGGGGAGGTGAGATGGGGATCTGGGATGAGCCCAGCAGGATGGGATTTGTCACCCTGCTGCTCCTGGGATGTGCCAGGATGGGTGGGATGGGCACAGCAGGGTGGGATTTGTCACCCTGCCCTGCTCTCCCTGGGATGGGGCTGTGGGATGGGGCTGTGGGATGGGGCTGTGGGATGGGCCCAACAGGATGGGATCTGTCACCCTGCCCTGCTGCTCCTGGGATGGGGCTGTGGATGTGGGCACAGCCCATAAATCACTCTGGGGACAGGCAGGGGGGTGGCTGAGCCTTCCCACAAGCATCTCCTGCTCCCAGCTCCCAGCCCCAGCTCCTGGCAATCCCCATCGCTGCTCCACACCCGCCCTGGCTGCTCATCAGGGAATCGCAGCTCCTCATCAACGCCCAGGTCACAAAACAGCCGGGAAAGGAGCAGAACCATCGTCCCTAACACAGGGCTGGGCCAGCAGGGCCCTCCCGCAGCTCTCTGTGCCATTCCCGAGGGA